TCGCCCAAGGCTGAGAATCAAACCCGGGTCCCTGGAGCTGTGAGGCAGCAGGTGCTAACCACTGAGCCACCGTGCTGCCCCTCCACCACAGGGCCTTCCTCATTAAATCATGCACCATTGTGTTATTGCACCAAAACTGTTCTCCATTCTTCTTACAGCAATGCTACATTCACTGACAGGCTGCCCCCCAGTTGTTGTAACCTATTGCAGTAGTGGTAAATTCTTTAAGCTTAAATGGCTATTTGTTAAAATAAAGGCAGCAACACTTTTGTTGTCGAAATACAGGATGTGAACAATGCACAAGTTAGCACTCACTCAGTAGAAGAAATACAATAGGTAATTGATGCATTCATCAAAGTCCAAAACAGCTTTGAGCTTGCCTTAAACTGGAGGAATATCAAAGTCCCATTTTTCGGCCAGCAGTTATTGTCCATCCCTAGTTGCCCTTGAGAACGTTGTCTGAGCTCTATTCCTGAATTGCTGCAGTCCATAGGGGTGGAGGGACACTCACAGTGCTGTTAAGAAAGGATTTGACCTGGATTTGACCATCATTTTGACCTGGCAATACTGCAAGAATGTTAGCATAGCTCTTAATCAGGACAGTGTGTGGCTTAGAAGGGAACTGCAACTGATAATATTCCCCTGCATCTGCTGCTGTTGTTCTTCTAAGTGGTAAAGATTGTGAGTTTGGAATGTGCAAAGAACGGAGATGTAGTCATCTTCCATTCCACGTGAAATGTCTCAAATCTAACGCCTTCAGTTGAGGTCCATGATGAAGCAATGGAAATGTCTTTCACTTCCTATTTCTTTGCAGTTTTCTAACCCGAACAAAAGCTGTAGTAAATGAAGGGTTATGAGGCTGAATCCAAAGTGCTAGGTTAGCCTCTTAAATATACATATTTTCAAAAGTCATATCAGACAAAACAGCAAACACGAGCAGCCTCCAAGACATAAACCTGACAAGCATAAAAGTCATGATGATGTTACATCAGCTGAGATGGGCAAGACATGTCATTGCAATGCCCAAATGCCGAACAGTGGCTCTACTGAGAGCTGAGCCATGGAGCCAATTCACATAAGGGCCAAAGGAAAGGTCCAAAAGGACAACTTCAGAACCTCCACAAAGGTCTACTGTATTAACAAAAACACACGAGAGGCAGATGCCTAATTGCGACCAAAATGACAATCCATGATCAAAAACAGAGTTAAGACCTTCTAATGTACAGAAGCGGCCATTGAGAGAGAGCAGTCAGAGAGATGGAAAAGGAGGTCAGCTGCTCCACTAAAAATCTGTCACCACCTCTACCAATGACAACTGATGACCTCATTGTGGCAGAGACTGCAAGGCAAAGATAGAACTCATAAACCAACTACAAAGCCATTGACACCTGACCCCCACACAGCCACTCACAGAGAGAAGCATTCAGTGGATTACTGACAGTAATGTATTGAGTTGAATGTACTTGGAACAGTTAACATAAGTCCTTATCACAGCTTTGAACTTTTCTCAGTAGTCAGCCTAACTGAGATGTGGAAAGTCGGCTTGCAGTTCAAATTTGATGGGATCGACCAATTGAGGCATCAACATACTAATAAAAAAGAGCTGAAAGTAATATTCAATTCAACTTCTAAAATACTAGTTAAATTGCTGCAACACTGCTTAAAACGATAAGTGTATATTTATTTTATCTGTTTACTTGTGTAACCTTTTGTCCTGTCTTATTTTGAATGTTTGGTTTTCGTCCTGTCTGTATCCCTCATTCTCTATATTTCCATACAATTGCTCTGGTTATCTTGGTGTCTTTGTTTTCTTGTGATTTTTTTTACATATCTTCACCTTTTGTGTTTGCACTTGTCTCTGTCTCTGAGTTTTTAGGTTCCTTCTAAATAGACTCTGGACAAGGAAAGAAGCAAGGCATGCACCTTTGTAATTCCACACTCACTCACAGCCTCTTAGGTGTCGTTACTGCTTCGTCATCAGTGACACAGCAGCCACTCCCTTGGCCTGCACCTTCAAAGGCCTCCTTTTTTGGAGGTGAGGATTTATAGGTATCGCAGCACTCCAAGGTTTTGATTCTTTCCTTAGTGCTGCGTGCAGGTTTTTCTGCCAAGCACAAAATGGAATACCAGACACTGACACAAGACCTGTGCTGGTATTGGCTAGTTCTCCAATGTGGGGGGTAGGGGGCAGCTCCACCTGAATGCCTGCTCCTCAGGGACCTTGTGGTGGTCAACAATGACATACTGGCATCTCTCATCAAAATGCATCCATCCATGATTCTGGTCTGATCACATTACCACCAACAAACCATTTCATGTGGTTACACATAAGTCCTGAAGGGGGAAAGAGGCATTTAGTACTGACCACTGAAGAATGAGCTTGCAGCAGTGCATCCTGATGAGGGAGATGCAGATGGAAGAAGCACAACAGTTAACATTGTGTGACAATGTAAATTTCACAACTTTAATAACTTTATGGATCGAAAGAAATAGCAATAGCTCTTTCTGGAATAAGGTGTTCTTAAGATAAAAGAGACAAGGAGACACTGTTGTAAAAGTGATTGAAAGCAACATACAAATTAACCAGGAGATAGTAAGAACTGCCGATGCTGAAGTCAGAAATAACACAGTGTGGAGCTGGAGGAACACAGCAGGCCAGACAGCATCAGAGGAGCAGGAAAACTGACGTTTCGTGTCGGGACCCTTTTTCTGAGGAAGGTCCTGACCTGAAACGTCAATTTTCCTGCTCCTCTGATGCTGTCTGGCGTGTTGTGTTCCTCCAGCCCCACACTGTGTTATATGAATTAACTATCTCTGGGAAGAAGCGTCATAAACAATCTGTTTCCTGGGAGACAGGAGATAACAACTGCTTTGACACCTGCTTGATAAACTGGATACTTTATTGCCACAAAGGACAAGTGATTACCCTGCAGAAGAATTTAAGGAGTTAATTGCAGGAAAAGCTGCATTTTAAATAAACAGCCAACTCCAAATGTAACACAGAACACAGGAGCCACTTATGGTAGCAAGCTACAGACTTAGGTCTGCAGGAAAGTAATCAATGTTTAGGATGAAAAATGAACAACAATAATCTCATACCACAAACTTAGAAGGAAAAATTGCATAAGAATCTGACACCAGAACAACTCAGTAGCAGAACTTTGAAGAAAAACACTGCACAAGAATTGAACTCTGGACACTTCCAGAGACATACACTGTTGGTTGGAATCCTGGCCAGATTCCACCACTAATCAGGTAACAGCCAAGTTGCGTTGTGAGACTGAACTTGCTTACTTGAGGGGGTCTTATTGTGGTTGCTACATACAATAAAGTTTAAATCATTGTTTCAGTACTTGATTGTCTGTGAGATTTCTTAATAGGTAGCTGAATTAAAGGTAACTTGTGGTTACACAACTATAATGTACTTCCTTCAATAACTTCCAGAGAATGTACAGCACAGGCATTTGGTGCATGCTGATGTTTCTGCTCCTCATGAGCTGCCGCCCATCTCACTTCATCCAACCTTGTTAACACCACCTTCTGTTCCTTCATCCCCCATGATGTTATCCAACTTTGACCCTTCCCCATCCATGCTAATCAACCCTGTGATAGTGTGTTCCACATCACCACCTTCTGGATAAAGAAATTTCTCCTGAATTTGTGACTACCTTATATTCTTGGTGCCTAAGTTTGGTCTCCCCATGAGTGAAAACATTTTCTTTCCATCTATGTTACCACACTGGCATAATCTTAAAAGTCTCAATCAGAAAATCCCTCACGCTTCTCCACCTTAACAATATAACTTTCCATTTCTGGTATCAGCCTTGCGAATATATTTTGCATATTCTGCAGTGTCTCTATACTCTTTTCACAATGTGTGGACTTGAAATATGAAGATTATATTAAGTGTGGTTTAACAAAAAATCTACATGTAGTTCTTCTTCTCGATTCTAGATTTCCCGAAAATAATCTCAATGCTTTTATTGCTTTATTTGTGGCTTTATGAATTCTGATCACGACTTTTACTGAGTGTATCTACCCCAAGATTTCTTTGCATCACTCCCTCATTTGGACACTTAACAGCTAAAAATGTAACAGGATTGTTTTCTATGCTTAGGGGGGCTTTATTTTGCAATCTGCTTACACTAGTCCAGTTGGAGGCAGGCAGTGGATACAATTGGCACTTCCACCTCATTCCTGTGATCATAACGTGGGTCTAAGCACTCAATTGAGGGGGGTCTGTCCAACGTTGTGCTGACAGTATAAGGTGCAGAAGTCATGCATTTTCTTTTAAAAGGAATCTGCTCTGAGTAAGATGGCTGTAAGATAAAAGTTAGAACATGTGATACAAGGGCAGAGGCAGGGATCCTTCAGGACAGATGTGGGCCTGAAGGTATTAATGGGCAGGAACAGTGATGCTTGGGTTTTACTGAAGCTGAGGATAGGTGACAGGAGAACTTCAAAGTCACTCAGATGGGAGTGGGAGCAGGTGACCAGGGAGGTCCAGTTCCAATGCCTGGACCTAAGAACCTGACTACAATGCCACAAGGAGCGTAATGACCTCAAGCAGTATCAAAGGTCAATAAATGCATCATCACACAACACTTGCTCGATGCACCATTGAACTTTCACCTTGCTCAATGCATCATCACTCCTTAGCACTCAGGCCTCATGACCAAACTCCAGACACTCCACATGACCCTCAGATACCTACCGATACTGCCAGACACACACTCAACCTCCTGCTGTCTCCATTGACCTCCAACTATTCAGACATAGCAGGCCCAACACAAATTATTCATTTACCAATCAGCACCCTTTTCACTTGTTGTGATTGTTTGAAATCTGGAATCTTGCATTTTCCCCAATAGGTGTAACAGAGAAAGCTTTGGCAACATGGGTCTCTTTTCAGTAATATAGAACTCATGGACAATAGTCATCTGTATATCATTCCAAGACCAACATAATAAAGAAAAATGAGCTTAGCGTGACCCAAGAATATGAGTGAAAGACTAGGAAAAAGGCAAAGTGAGTGTGAGTAAAATTCAGATAGATTTCCACTGCCAATTAATTATGTACTTGCATCAATAAAACGAAACTGTGATTTCCTTTGAGAATATGTAGGAAACATTAGCAGTAAATAAACCTTTTATACTGGTATTTTTCAACAGCTAATTAAAGGCTCCAAAAATTGCAGACTAATGTCACAGCCAAGCCATTTCCTTTCGTACACAGACTAAACATTTAATAAGGCTTTTGTTCCTTTAATGAGTGAAATATTATAAAAGTTAGCACATTTTGTCTCAATATCAATTCAGCATAAAAGATCTAAGATGCTACAATACCTCTTTGAAAATGTTCTTCACATTCCCAAGTTATTTCTCATCTTACAATTTTTAGGCCACATTATCCTATCCACCTCAAAGGATTTCACTAACTGCTGTCCTTGAATCAGCCATCAGATGGCCCATGACAGCAATCAGGCAATGGTCTTACAATATTCTCCTCTTGTCTCCTTATGGAAACAGGGGTCACAAAAACAGGAAAGTTGGAGGAAATTCCAACTCCATAACATTTGAAGGGGAGGCACAGTGGCTCAGTGGTTAGCATTGCAGCCTCACAGTGCCAGGGACCTGGGTTCAATTCCAGCCTTGGGCAACTGTGGAATTTGCACATTCTCCCTGTCTCTGTGTGGGTTTCCTCTGGGTGATTCAGTTTCCTCTTGCAGTCCAAAGATGTGCAGGTTAGGTACATTGGCCATGCTAAATTGCCCTGAAGTGTACAGGCTGATGTACTGTGCAAACACACCATCTCTCCAACAGCAAATTCCTTCAATAAATGCAATACTTTCACAAGATTTCATTACATTTATTCAGATGGTCATTTGACCCATTTAATTTCATTCATCTGGAGCATCCACTCCTTCCTTCTAACTAATATATAGCTATCATTCTGCTAAACAGACTGAATTTCAGTTCAGCAACATCCCTAAAGAAAGGCACCATCTGATAGTACAGGTAGTTCTCCTACAATGCAATAGTTGCGTTCTTGTGAGACCGCGTGCTATAGAAAATTGCCAAAGATAATTGCATTATAGGGACATTGCTACAGCAGAGTGTTCGTGTTATCCTAACAGCATCCACTATTCATCAATAGCATTACAGCCAATTCATGTTAACGAAACACGCGTTATAGCAGAACTACCCCTGTACAGAGGTGCCTTAGCTATCACTGTTGATCCAGAGGCAGAAGTGCCACCAGCTGAGCCAATGCGGCAAACAGAATGTGCGATGCTAATCAGCTCTATAAAAATGTAAAAACTGTAATAACTAAGAGGTTAATTCCAACTTTCCTGTTTGGTGAGTTTTGTATAACTGCCCATTCAGCCACTAACATTACCACTTCTATGTAGTTTCCTCTGCGTGGGAAACTGAAGGCTGAGTTGACTTGGAAATAACTTCTATTGAATGGGATGCTGATGGCAGATAAAACTTTTGTTTTAGTACCTTTGGGTGTTGAAGCAGGAACACGCAATTATTCAATACTGATTTTTGACGTCATCAGAGGGTTGGTGTCAGAGGATATAAATCCTGAACAATATTTAAAGATAAAGGAACAGTATGAGCAAAGCCACAAAGACACAGAAACCTCCAGTTTCTTTACCACCAGAAGACTTGAAGAAGTGAAGGCAGGATCCTGTACTCAAATCAAAAATGGTAGGGTGCATTTGTTTTTGGAAGGAATTGTGTTGATTCATAGTGCAAAAGCATTACAACAAAATATTTTAAAACTCGTGTTTTCATTTTTTTAAAATATAAAATAAATATGCACTAAATGGTAAAGAAAAGCAGAGCAAATTGTGCAAATATGATCTGAATTTATATTTCAGCTTTCATGATGAAATGTGATTATTGCGTTAAATTAAGTCTTGCATTTATAGAGCACTATCATGACCTCTGGGTGTTTCAAAGTACTTTTGAAGTAATACAGAAATGAGAGCAAACAATTTGCTTACAGCAAGCTCTTCCAAATGGCAATGCAATAATGTCTAGATTATCTGCTTTTGGTGATGTTGTTTCAGGGATAAATATTAGCCATGATGACAGGGGTAATGTCCCTAATCTTCTCTGAAATTGTACCACGGGACGTTGATCTGTAAAGGCATATAGAGCCTCAGTTTAACACCTTATCTGAAAAATGGCATCTCTGACAATGCAGTACTTCCCAAGTACTATACTGAAGTGTCAATGTTGATTCCCTGCTCAAATCCTAACAAGGAACTTAAACCCAGAATCTTGTGACTTAGATATAAAGACTGCTACCAACTGAGTTATTGCTGATGCAAAGTATCTGACAGCATCTTTATCACATGGAGTTTGATAAGGAGAGCATTTCATTTGAGTAAAATATTTAAAAATTAGCAGGATGATACCTGTGCTTTCTGGTGTAGCTGCAATCTGTTGTGGTAGAAAAACAGAATTATATTTGACAGCAGGAAAAGCACTGGAATCAAATGGAACAATCTTCCAGGATTTTCTTTCTTGCATCATCCCCTTCTAATTTTATTAGTTTAATTGCCTTGAAAACACTGTTGGCCTTATTAGCAGTTGAAACATTAATACTTTTGCTTGATGTTCCATGCTCCATTATTGTAATGTAGGTGCTAGCTCATTCAAATTAAATTAGTTAATGCCTCAGCAAAAGCAGTGAGAAATCAGTGTATCTCGCATTCACACAGATCACCTAAATTATTAGGGCTAGTCTTTTTTCACGGCAGTCTTTTTCTTAAAAAAAGCAGCTTTATTTTTCCTGGTAAAATATCTATCATTTTTGGAACAAGATATCATGGTCTGTGATAAAAGAGAAAATGTTACACCAGGAACTACATGGTCTAAATTAAGTTTTATTTTAAAGAATACAGAGAGGAAGTTTTATTTTCATTTTCCTTTCTAACTTCATTTTCACAGTATAAGAATATAATGATATGTTTTTATTCAACAGGCATTTTGTATGGACATTATGGAAATCCATGATAGGCATAAGCACTGTCAGCCTTGTTTTCGGCTTTTAGTTGTCATCTGTGGTCAGTTTCTTCTCTTATGTTTATAAGATTATAGTGACGGCAGATATTTGTAAATCCTTTTTCAGTTATGTCAGGAACACTATTCAATTTAGGCAAAAATCTGCAATGAGTTTTTTAGTGGTTGGAAGAGTGCAAGTGTGTTAAGACTGAAGACTTTTCAGTCATTCCAATCAGATGGCTACCCATTTTCCAATCCCTTGGAAATCTATTTGTAAGAGAGGAGTGAGTATCTTGTGGACCTACTGAAGAATTCTGTCTTTGTGATATTCTTGGTCTTCCAGAAAAGAGGGACCTTCCTCCTTGCTGTTTGTATGAATTTAAAGAAAGCCTGCATCTTATTACAGTGAAACGTGGAGAGAGATTAATAATAAATAGACTCTGAGGAAACATAAACTTGGACTGGAGGTAATTTATACGTCAAAGGGTACAAAATTTAGCTTATTCACCTTTTCCTGAAAGTGATTTTTTGTGTGCATTAGTTTTTACAATATTGCAGAGTTTAATAACTTTTACTTTCCATAACTGAAGTCAAAATGACAATATACATTTAAAACAACTGCGAGTAACAATAACAGGACTGTCAGTAATAATACGAGGCAATGATAAACTAGTTTGTACAGGGCTTATTATTTCAGCAGAGAAGATAGTCAGCCAGATCTTCTGGTATTCGATGAGGTGTTGCATTGGAGACCTTTCTAAAGTACTGGCACATGCACACAAAGGCGGAGACTTAGGGATAACACAGTGTGGAGCTGGAGGAACACAGCAGACCAGGCAACATCAGAGGAACAGGAAAGTTGACGTTTCGGGTCGGGATCCTTCTTCAGAAATTCTGTGGTTGGAAGAGTGCATCTCTTCCAACTATCTCTGTAGCATGCTGGTAATATCGCTGAACAAATCTGGAATCCCAGCCTAATGCTCTGGGGAGATAGATTCAAACTCTGGCAACTGGTGAGAATTAAGTTAATAAATCTGGAATTTATAGAAACAGGCCCTTCGGCCCAACAAGTCCACACTGACCCTCAGAGCATCCTACCCAGACCCACCCCACACAACCCAACTAATCTCACATCCCTGAACACTATGGGCAATGATGACTGTGAAACTATTAAAACCTGTCAAGTCAAAACTTGCAAAGGCTGAGGAATTAAAGTGAACATACCTCCTGCCTGATTTCCTAAACAAACATGTTTGTGGAGGAAAACACTTTGCTTTTGAACAAATTGCCTCCTTGATTCCATGAGTGATGAATTAAGTTTAATTTCATGACGGTTTGCAGTTGGGATAGATTCTGTGATCCTTAATCATTTAGGAACATTAGCTGAGATTTTCTAATTAACTGTATTTTAATACATCAATCTTGCTAACAGGGTTATACTGACATTAAAATACCATCTGTCTGAAAATCAAGGCCACTGTTGCCCCACTTCTATATCCAGTGTGTTTAATGATCGGATTTCAAATTATGATTTCAAATTTAATCTGAAAACTTTTGCTATATCATTAATACCTGTTAACCACATTTTTAACATGCCTTTTAAGGTTCCTGCATAAATCTTCTTTCTTTCCACTGCATTGAGAGAACTCATGGTCTTTAGACTTCTGGTATGGTTACACTTAAGGCTTCTTCAGCAGGAGATAAACCATTATGGCATGGGCTGGTCCAGCTAGCATTTTCTCTCCCCGTTTCCCGTTGGGACAGGTACTCTATAATTCTTGTTAAGAATTTCAAAGCTCAGCATTAGGGAGTACCAGTGACTGTGTAGATTTACAGTCAAATTCATAAAGTTCTGTTTGACCACACAAAAAACTTGTGGGATCATATAAGTTGCAATTTACTTATATTACAACTAATTCAACCATTCCACGAAAATTTATTGTCTTCTCAGAACTAGCAGCTTGGAAAGGAGTTCAAAGCTGGAACTATAGCTATTCAACAACAGATATGACATGGCCCGATGCCAGAAACTACTGCCAACATTTCTTCACTGACCTCGTTGCAATTCAGAACCGTGAAGAAAGTGACCATCTGAATACAGTGATACCGAGGAACCCAACTTACTACTGGATTGGAATAAGAAAGATTAGTAACGTTTGGACCTGGGTTGGAACTAACAAAACACTGGATGAAGAGGCAGAAAACTGGGCTGCAGGTGAACCAACTCCTGGTGCTGAAGATTGTGTCGAAATTTATATAAAAAGAGCAGAAAATGCAGGAAGGTGGAATAATGATCCCTGTAGAAAAATGAAACATGCAATATCTTATTTAGGTAAGATCTAACCTTACGCATTCATCAGAACTTGCTGATGTCAAAACTGGATTCACTTTAAAAAATTAGGGAGCTTTGAAGGAGTTTCTGCTCTAATGTCTGATAAGCAATTCACTTTCAATTTTAATCTTCAAAGTTCTCTGTGTCTGACCCAGTTTTATTTACCAATAAAGATAAAGTCAGTGCTATTTTGAACATTCTCATGAAGCTATATGACCATGTTGTAAAGAAGGCACATGCCACACATCGTCCTACTCTAACTCATCTCTTTGTTAAGTTGGAGAATGTCACCCAACAGCAACTGCATCACTTCTCTCCACTGTGAACATTCAGTAGATGCGGGTGAGGACCAGAGATACTGGGGTCACATTGCAACATTATCAATAACAAAAGTTGTGTCAGACAGGCACCATAGCAGTGACTTATTTTTTTGCTATGTCCTCTTTAGTGTGAAACACCAGCATCAGAGCCCTGCAACTTCTGTCTTCACACTTTATTTTCCTTCCTGCAAAAATTTTCTGCATCAGTTTGTTGTGACATGACAACCACTTCCCACATTAACTCACTTCTTTTAGGTTTTAGTGTCATCTGCAGATTTTGGTCCTAATGCATAATTTTCCATTGAAATAAGTTTTGTACTTTTAAAAGATTAAAACATCAAATTGACATTTTTGCTGCTTTCTAATATCTGTTCAAATTAATAATGACTCAGAATTTGCAGCAGTAGTGACAGTAAGGCTGTCAGCCTCACCATGAGTGCTGAGTAAAACTAACAGCAATAACTTGGATCAGAAATGTGGAAATCTGAAAGTCTTTGTCAGTGATTCTCTGCTTTTCCACAGCATACATACAATGTTGTAGTTTTCACAGATGGAGTCTTTTTTTTAAAAATCACAAGTGAATTTAAACTATGTGCACACTATTCTCAACTAAAAAAAAGTGAAAATGCAAGACCTCCTTTAATCAGGAGTGACTAGATATTAATGATGTGTTAAGTCAGAAATATTACTGATTAGCCCCCCTGGTCCTGAAAAACTAACTTTGAATGTGCGGAGTAACAATCATTCAAAATTAAATTGTTTTGAAAGTTTTGTTCTGCTATTGACATTCTCCTTTAAGGTTACATTTATGTGTCAATGATTTTTGTATTTTACGTAATGAATTAAAGATGATCTATATCCTTTTTTTTGCTGTCGGTGACAGCTGATTGACTGGTAAGCAGACCTACTGCCTTCCCTTAGCTAGAAGTCACTGATCCCTTTAGGGAGTGTTAAACTGAATTGGTATTGTAAATTAGGAAATCTACCTTCTGGAACCCACTAATCTTTGTCAGCAGCTTTTTCAGAGGTCAGTAGCAAGCAGAATCTGTTTCTGCATGTGGTCATGCTGGATCATAGGAATGCGATGAACAGATGAGAAAAATGGATGGAATGAAGAAGTATCTACCCATAGCAGAGCTAATGACACTGCTGGCATTTATGGAAAATAAAGGGAAGAGCCCTTTATGGGCCAGTGTTGCACCTTACCTGATTTTCCTCTGTCCACTGAGCCTGGGGATCTGATAAGCGCCGAATCAAGAAAATTTGCCCCACGATGTTCTTCAATTTGCACAACTAATAATTTGTACCAGAAGATCTTGCTAATCACTCTGTGTTCTCATTTCAGTAGGGAGTTCATGTAATGTGCTTTTAATCGTGGGAGGTGAGTTTTAGCAAACAACACCCCAAACCAGATAACAACTGACTGCAAAAAGTACACCCTCTGAAAACTAGCCCATTCTGCCAAATACAGTTTAGTGCAATGGTGACAGTTCCTTCATCTGTTATAAACAAAATTGGAGATCTAGAGTCATAGAATCATACAGCATGGAAATAGACCCTTCAGTCCAAGCAGCCCATGCCTAAATAATTCCCAACTAAACTAGTCCCACCTGCCTGTTCCCATTCATGTACATATCTAAGTGTCTTTTAAACGTTGTAATTGTACCTGCATCTACCACTTCCTCAGGAAGTTCATTCCACACATGAACCACCCTCTGTGTAAACAATTTATCCCTCATGTCTTTTCTACATTTCACTCCTCCCACCTTAAAAATGACCCCCTTGTCTTGAAATCCCCTATCCTAGGGAAACGACACCTACCATTAACCCTACCTATACCCCTCATTATTTTATAAACCTCTATATGGTCATCTTTCAACTTTCTAAGCTCCAGTGAATAAAGTCCCAGCCTATTCAGCCTTTCTTTATAACTCAAACCTTCCATACCTGGCAACATCCTGGTAAATCTCTTCTGAACCCTCTCCAGCTTAATAATGTCCGTCCTATAACAGGGCAACCAGAACTGGACACAATACTCCAGAAGAGGCCTTACCAATGTTCTGTACAACCTCAATATGACTTCCCAAATCCTATACTCAAAGGACTGAGCAATGAAGGCAAGCGTGCTAAACATCTTTTTAACCATCCTGTATATATGTGACACAAAATTCAAAGAATTATGTATCTGAACCCCTAGGTCCTCTGTTCTAAAACACTGCCCAAGTCCCTATCACTAATTGTCTAAGTCCCACCCTGTTTGTTGTACCGAAATGTAATACCTCATATCCACATTGAACGCCATCTGCCATTTTTCAGCCCAATGACCCATTTGATCAACACCCCTTTGTAATCTTAGAAAACCTTCTACACCATCTACTACGCCACCAACTTTGGTGTCATCCGCAAACTTACTAATCATGCTTTCTACATTCTCATCCAAGTCATTTATATAAAAGAAAAGAGGACCTAGAACCGATTCCTGTGGAACACCGCTGGTCACAGGCCTCCAACACAAAAAGCAACAGTCCACTACCACTCTCTGTCTCCTGCCCTTATGATTTGACTTTTCTAAATTAATATCTTTACACATATACATCTATGCACAATCACTTACATCACAACACTGCTAGAACAATGCCAGAATGGAGGGAGATGGTAAACAAATAAAGAGATACTGAATCATAAATGAAACATTAAAAACACAAAAATGAGAGGGTGGTTACTGCAGCTTTCCAGTAAACTAAAGCAGTGTCTGATTTTCAATATCCTTTCTTCTTCTGTTACCAGGATTCCAACCACTCCAGCACATAAATTTACAACAGGATTCACTCATTAAGCTATTTTGAGAGAATTTAAAGCTTTTGTTTTGTTCCTGATCAACAAGCATCAATCACCACTTCAAGACTAACAAATGCAGAGAACTTGAATGAAATTGTTTACTTCAGTCAAGCCAAATTTGGTGTTCCCTTCCATTGTGTGTTAATCAGGCCACGTTCATCAGTCGCCACTTCAATTTCTTTTCATAATACCAATAATTTTTTAGAGTTTTAATGAGTTACTGATACAGAATGTCACCTTTGAAGGTTTAATTTCCTCTGGTATGAGCATGTTAATGGCACACTATTAAATAACTTCCTGCGCTCTTCAAAACTCTGTTAAGATAAAGAGGGATTGACTGCATTAAAGTGTAAATAATTTTGAAAATATATTTGCACAATTGGAAATAATTAACTTTTTTAGCAACTAATTATTACCATAGAGACTCATCATCTTCAAATCTAACACACTGGCACCATCTACATAAGAAATCTTAATTAATTGGAATTATACTGGAATGCAGGCAAAATTAAATTCTCACCGTTCCACCAGTAACTGGTTATAAGACTTTGCTTATATTTTTCTGGTCATAAAGAGGTTTCTGGGTTTGCGTTGCTTTCTTTAATAGAAGCGTGCAAGACTGCTTCATGCAGTGGACGTGGAGAATGTGTAGAAACGATTCGAAGTTACAAATGTAAATGCAATGAAGGATTCCATGGACCAGAATGTGAATGTGGTAAGAGTCAAATGTGATACCCTAAAACCTAAAGCAAAGGACTTAAACTAGAAAGACTGGAGCAATGGGCACATTCTCATTAAAAATTAAAAGATCCCACCAAGAACTGAAAGTAGGCAGTCTATGTGATGGAAGAGACATGGGTCTCAGCGTGAGTTTGAAAAGATTGCTTAAGTTGTAAGTAATTTGTTTTGGTCTAAGTCAGAGCTTTGTTATCATCTCATAGCATGATAATCAATATTGTGTTTTTGTCACAGATGGGGACACTTCAATTAACACTTAGTAAGTGGTCTAGTCAGGCAAAGGTGGCTCTATCCTGTGAAACAAAGCTAATACAAGAATAAATATAAAATAATTATTCTCTATATGATTAGAGATAGAACACATCTCCAAATAGTTACACACATGACCAATATCTCAAGCAAGCATTTGATTTTAGGCAACTATTATAATAATTAATTATATAATAATTCAAAAACTATTCTAATTGCCCCTGTACAGTTGAACAGTGTACCACTCTCAATGTTCCTGACCAAGCGACTATGAGCTGCACCTATCCTAATGGAAACTTCAGCTTCAACTCTACATGTGACTTCCACTGTGCAGCAGGGTTTACACTGCAGGGCTCACAGAGGCTCCAGTGCAATGCAACAGGAATGTGGACAGAAATAACCCCCTACTGTGAAGGTACGGACTCAAATAAGACCCACTAATAGAAAGAGAACATTTAGGAAAAGGTTTGAGAAAATCAATCATGAAAGTTTGTAATTTTTTGCATTTGTTTACTTACAAAAAATTTCTTAATGCTTCATTTCAGCTATAAAATGTGAAACTCTGGAAAATCCTGGGCACGGATTTTGAACTGCATATATCCCTTTGGGTTTTTCAGTTACAGCTCTTCATGTGAGTTTAGCTGTGATACAGGGTTTGAACTCCATGGAGCAGTCAGATTACAATGTGGAACCTCTGGACACTGGATAGGGCAGGAACCCAACTGTAAAAGTACAATCAGTGAAAGGCAATACTAGAAAAATAGCAATAGATGAACAATTGTCTTACCCAACTAGCTTGATTTAATGTGTGCTTACCTGACATGTATTCTTTAGTTGTACAGTGTAGAAATCTTCAGATTATTGGACAAGAATTGATGAACTGCACATATCCCTTTGGAAAATTCAATTACAACTCAACATGCTTCTTTAACTGTACTGAAGGGTTTGACCTTTATGGATCTGATAAGTTGGAGTGTGGAGCTTCTGGAAACTGAATGGCAGAGCACCCCGCATGTTAAGGTACATACAGTACTGGAACATAATATAGAACAAAGATCACCTGTGATTTTATATCAGTTTGCAATTTATGTTTTCAAATCTGCATCGAATTCCAAACTTTATGGCTCAATGTAAGGTGTGGACTTCCAGCTTGTTCAGGACAAGGACTGATAAACTGTTCCCATCGCATCAGAGGTTTCATTTACAACTCCAAAATGACGTTAGTAATTCCAATTGGGTTCCATTGTGGAGCTTCTGAATAATGCTTCGAAAGGTTATCCATCTGTAAAATTATCAAGTTGCTTCCTTGACCCCAGGAACATAACTGTCATTGTCACAAATGGTGACTCCAGAACCATAAAGGCTACTGGAGTCAGCAGATACAATCATTTTCATTGAATCGGATCTTTTTGGTAAAGGCTCTCAGTGATCTGAGAGTGGAATCTTTCTTCAACCTACAAACACCTAGAGCTAGATTTTTCTCCTCAGTTCCTGGCTTGAATGGATCATTCACTCTTTATTGAATCCATATGATTTTAAGTGTCACTGTAGTAGATAATAAAATTCTGCAATTATACAGTAGGAGATGCTCTCCTAAGTTTAAACAAAAGTAAAATCTTGGATAGCAAAGGAGAAGCACGTGAGAGTTTTCAATATTGACACTATCATGAGCATATATGTAAAACTGCAAATCAGGAGCAGATGTAGGCCATTCAGCCCCTCATGCTTGCTCCGCCATTCAATCAGGGCTGATCTGGTTTTGATCTCAAATCAACATTCCCAACTACTCCTGACAGCTGTTCAACACCTTGTTTAATAAAAATCTATCAAACTCTCTCTTGAAAATATTCAAGGACTCTGCTTCCAACACATTTTCAGGGAACGAATTCCAAAGACTCATGACTCTCTGAAACAAAACAATTTGCCTTATCTTGGTCTTAAATGGTCTGATTTTTAAATAGTGACCATTAGTTGTTGGTTCTCCAACAAGAAAATAAATTCTTTCCATATTTACCCTGTCAAGGCTCCTCAAGATCTTACATGTTTTAATCAAGGAGCCTTTTGCACTTTTAACCTCCAGCTGTTGTAAATTTAGCCTGTCCAAACTTTATTTATAAAACAATCCACCCATTCCAGAGATTAGTCTAGTAAATTTTCTCTGGACTATTTCCAATGCATTTACATACTTCCTTTAATAATTTCATAATTTATCATTGTCTCTGGAATGATACTTGTATCCTTTTTAGTATAACTTAATGCAAAATACCTGTTCAATTCATCTGTCATTTCTTTATTTTCCATTATTAATTCTCTAGCCTGACTTTCCATAGGATCAACATTCATCTTGTTAATTCTTTTTCTTCTTTAAATATTTATAGAAACTCTTACTGTCTGTTACTAATGTGGAGAGGTGATGGCCTAGTGGTATTATCGCAAGATTATTAATGCAGAGTCCCAGGTAATGCTCTGGGAGTGGGGGAGGTGGGTGGGGAGGTGGGTGGGTGGGTTTGAAACCCACTACAGCAGATGGTGGAATCTCAATTCAATAAAATTAATCTGGAATTTAAGTCTCTAATGATAACAATAAAACAATTGTCAAATGTTGGGGAAAAATGCCCAACCGATTCTTTAATGTCCTTTAGGGAATGAAACTGCCATCCTTACCTGGTCTGACCTACATGTGACTCCAAACCCACAGTAATGTGGTTGACACTTAACTGCCCTCTCGGCAATAAATGCTGTGACAGCCACATCCTGTGAATAAAAATAAATTCTGACTAGCCGTCTTGTACCCTAATTTTTTCCTGTTTTTATTCTTTGCTTTTTTTAAAATATTACCTAATCTTCTTTGCACATTTATACGCTTTTTTTCCTTAAGTCTGATACTGATATTAAACTTTCTGGTTAAGCATGAATAATGGGTCTGTCCCTTGGACCATATTTATACATACTCTCTATCCCTTCCTGTCACAGTCTCTTTATCATTTCCTATATTTTTAACTTCTCTTTCGTCTTGATTCTACTCTTTGACTTAGCACATCTTCCCAAATTTCAACCCTTGCCTCCACTATTCGGTTTAAAACCATCTGTACTTCCTTAGTTATGCAGGTGGCAAGAACTTCAGCCCTAGCATGGTTCAGGTGGAAACCATGCCATTAGTACAGATCCCACTTTCCCCACTGGCGCCAATACCCCATGAATATAAACCAATTCTCCCACACCAGTCTTTGAAGCACACGTTCATCTCTTTAATCTAACTTGCCCTATACCAATATGCACATACCTGAGGTAATAGGGATTACAACCTTCGAGGATCTGTTTCTTCATTAGGTGCCTACCTCCTCATACTGACTGTGCAGAACTTCCTTTGTTGTCCTGCCTACGTCATTGATACCTGAATGGATCATGATGATTGGATTCTCTCCTCCACCCACTCGCATTTTGTCTCCAGTCCTGAGCAGATGTCTGGAACTGTGACATGAAGCAGGCAACACAGTCGCCTGGAGACAGTCTCTTTGCTGCAGAGACTAACATCAAACCTCTTGCTATATCATCACCTCCTATCATTACATTCCCTCTTACTGTCCTGTTTTCAGTGTCTTCTTGTACCATGGTGCCATGGACAGTATCTCATCCACCCTAAAGCCCTCACTCCCAATCAGACAAGCTGAAAGAAACTCAAACTTGTTGGATAACTGAAAAAGCTGAAGCTCCTGCCCCCTGGGTCCACTTAGCCACCTCACTCACAGTCACATCCTCCTAAGCTTCAACACTGACCAAATCAGAAGATCCAACCTTCAGAATTATGACTGCTTCCTGGTACACACGATCAAGGTAACTTACCCCTGCCTGATGTATCCCAGTGTCTGTAGTTCAGCTTCCAGCTCATTAACTCTGAGCTGAAGCTGCTCAAATGTCAAGCATTTGCTGCAGACGTGATAGCTCTGGACCAACCTGGAATCCAGGAACTCCCACATGCTACAACTATGACACCTCCTCGTCACACAGTAGGAAAATGATTAGATCCAGAGATGATTCCATGCACGAAGTTTGAGGCTAAATCAATGAACAAAGTAAAGTGACTTATGATTCTGTTACAATGAAAATCTCTCAACATTCAAAATTAACTCAAGGGAGGAAACTGGGATTTAGCCAAGAATTTACAAATTAGATGCATCAAGGTCACAGCATATTAAGTTGGAGCTTAGCATCTTAATGCATCTGTTTTACAAATCACTGGAAATCGATTTTTACTTACAATGAGTCACATTGGAACTTTGAACTCATGTGTTAGGAAGGGGAGGTCGAACCCCTCAGATAATTAAAATTGAAACAGAAGCCCCCAATCTGTTGCAGCAGGAGTAGAGGTCCCATGCTAATAATTAAACTCAAAACACCCAAAGAAGCTCACCTAATCTGTTAAACTTTTCCGAGGAGAGATGAAATGAAAGAAAATCCTGATATTCACTTTATAAGTAACAAGTAACAATTTATTTATTTAACACTAACAGTGAGCAAATTAACAGAATTACTAGCAAACCAAACAATTCCCCCTTAACTGCTAACTATTCCCTGCCTGAACTAAATTCTACCAGTATGCTGTTCCAATAAACACAAATCCCACCTATATAAACCCAAATAATAAGAAAATAAATGAAAACTTAGTCTCTCAAAGTCTTCACATCTTTCTTATGCTGTTCTCAAGTCATAAACGCCTTTCTTCTGCTGATCCGGCTGTCAGGTATATTTTCTCTGTGAAAATCTTCTGTGAGGACTCTTAGCTAGAAGTGCCATGGTAACTTTTATGGATAGATGGTGCTTTGTTAGAGAGCTTAGTGATTTCTTGTGAAAGCTTGATGCTTATTTCTCAAATGGTGGCTTGATCTCACACTGATTTTCAAAAACCCTCTCCTTATATACCTTGGATGACACATCAATTTTCTTACAATAGCATTGGTCCAAAGTTGTCAAAACCATCGGACTTAAGTTCAATTAGCTTTCAGTCACTAGGTGCTTGGTTTAATTAATTGGCTGATTCCAGCTAATTGCCAAAAGATCAAAACAAGCCTAAGGTTTCCAATCACACAGCCAATTGACACATGTTTCAATTTCAGAACTGGCAGTACGTCTTCAGCTGCTTACAGACACTTTTTTTGTATAAATCTCTAAGCTTAGAAAAGTACTTTACCTCTTAAAAGAACCACGCACTCGTCTCTTTTTTTAACAAACAAATTCTAGCTTCCTGCCTTACAATTCACAATTACTCTACACAACTTCACAACACATGGTAATGATATTATATATGAGACTGATGGGTGGCATTGTGTAAGTGGTGGGGATCTCCAGTATATTTATAAGCTCAGTGAAGGGAAGATAATATCAGTTCTAATGCTTTACCCCTCTCTTTGTCTCATGGGGTAAGAAGTGAAACAGCAGCTAAAACTCTGTGGCCAAATCCCAGTGTTAGCAACATTTTCTCAGAAGTATCATGTTGAATCCTAGCTGTCCATCAACATAGGATTAGTGCTGCTACTATAACACTTAGAACATAACCTCTAGATTTTAAATTTTCTTTTGCTGCAGCTCATACTACAGACAGGATGTGGGAATTACATAAATCTACGGGAGCAACTATTGGAACATTTCTGGCTTTTCTTCTTCTGTCATTTCTAGTTTGTGCTATTATACGTCATCATAGAAAAGGTGAGATCTTGTCATCATTTTTATTATTATTTTGTATGACTTCTGAGATGTTCTGTTTGCTTAGATGTTTTGCAGGCCTTCCACCACTTTGTGTTTAACAGTGGCCTGCGAATCTTGATGTTTCCTGGAAATGCTGCCAAAACGATTTAGCTTTGGGAAATGAAGATGGTGACTCCTTTCCTTTTTTTTTGTGGTGTAATGATATCAGGAAACAAAGAAACCAACAAACAAGCTTAGATTCTCATTGTGTCCACCACATCGTTAGGATTGTTCTAAAGAGCTGCATACGCAA